TGTTTCATCTGTACTATATTCTGTCTAATCAGTTAGTTAATTAGGTAAGAGCTAGCTGTAATTCTGTGATGATTGTGGAGTAACATCTAAAATGTAAAACTGCTAGGTTTATAAAAAAATTTGTGGTCTTAATTATTTCCTATTACCCAAGAATGTTATTTACATTTTTTTAATCTTTTGGGTTTCCCCCCCTAATTTTAATATGATTCTTACTTTTTCCAGGCTTTGTTGCACACATTAAAATATTAATATTTGCGTTCATTAAAGGTGATTACCTTCTAGTTTGCATATGTTGTTTCTTCCAAAAGAAGAAGGCAAAGGCGACTATTACTTCCTTTCCCTTCACTTACCCTGCCTATGATGTGAATAGGATAGAAAGTACAACTAAGCGCTGGGCACGGTGGCTCACGCCTGTAATCCCAGCACTTTGGGAGGCCAAGGCCGGCGGATCTCGAGGTCAGGAGATCGAGATCACCCTGGCTAACACAGGGAAACCCCGTCTCTACTAAAAATACAAAAAATTAGCAGGGTGTGGTGGCGGGCGCCTGTAGTTCCAGCTACTCGGGAGGCTGAGGCAGAAGAATGGCGTAAACCCGGGAGGCAGAGCTTGCAGTGAGCCGAGATTGCGCCACTGCACTCCAGCCTGGGCAACAGAGCTAGAATCCGTCTCAAAAAAAAGAAAAAAGGGATTGCATTGGGAGTTATACCTGATGTAAATGATGAGTTGAGGGGTGCTGACGAGTTGATGGGTGCAGCACACCAACATGGCACAAGTATACATATGAAACAAACCTGCACGTTATGCACATGTACCCTAGAACTTAAAGTATAATAATAATAAAAAATAATAAATTTTTAAAAAAAGAAATAAAAATTTAAAAAAAGAAAGTACAATTAAAATTAGGTTTAACCCTACATTTCTTAATATATGTGTTTTTCTGAAAACTCTGGAATGGAAAAGAGTGCTTATGTTTACAAATAGGGTGAGACATGTTTAAGTTGTCATTATCTAATCTGAACACTAATTTGGAACTGATTACTTTGCTGGATTATGAAACAATCTCAGCAGTTTCACAAATAAAAGTTCACAATATGTCCATATACTCCCACTTCTGCACATTCTTGAAATCCAGTTTACATTACGTCTTGTGTAGAATATGCTTTAATAGACGTCGACTTTTTGGCATAGAAAAATCAACCATTCTCGATTCAATCAGTCTTCCATTTAATAAATCAAGCAATAATTCTAAGGCAGTTAAGAAATGGGGATATTGAAATATACTGGATAATGTGGTAGGGTACTGGAAACACCAGGTTGCTTATGTGATTTTTACAAATAAGACAAAGAACTGAGGTAGACATGGATATTGTGCAAAAATTTTGTGTTTTCAAATATTTTAATTTGAATTTCTTATTATTGCCAACGTTCCAACATCATCATTCTTTTGTTTTGTTTTGTTTTGTTTTGTTTTGAGA